CACAGCTTTCGTTTCAAGATGTTATGCTTAGAAAAGGACAAAACAACAACAAAGAAACATACATTTAATTATATGAACATTGAAATATTATTTTATCGTTGTATAGTTATTTGGCTAGCTAGCTCTATACCTGAAAAAACTGTGCCTTCAGCTTCTTGATATCTATGCTCTGAATATCTTCAAGGGCTCTTACAAATTCTTCCATGTTTGCTGCGGCATTTTCTGCAGACGGCAAACCTTTAATGCTATCCATGCCAGTTCTTGACCACGAACGCTGTGTCAGTTCCATGCCAGTATTATTTTCCATATGAATTCTCTGATCTGCATTTGGCAAACCAGACCTATAATGCAAAATATTGTATAATAGTTTCTATGGCAACAGTTTTTTTATGGCACATCCATTCTTAATTCTGGTTCATTATCCCTTCCCCTTTTCTTTAGCGGGGATACTGTGATACAGTTTGCCCCATCGTCTCTACATACATACGGTCGTGCATTTGTAATGTTTCTAAATTTCTCCAACACTGTACAAACAAGACGTGTAAGACTTTGTTAAATGATACCAATATCAGCGTAGATTGTGACAACACTTTTGAAATGTGATCACGACCCTGAAAATGGATCTAGTTTGTAAGGTTGATTTCACATAAGTTTCAAATAATTCCCGAGTTGTATGTCTTCTTTGAACTGGCATATCTGATGCCAGATTCGGACTTCTGGGTGATACCCAAAGTTGTCCATATCCCCAAGAACACAGCCTTTGGATCCTAACATATAATCTATTGATTTGAGTACTATGTAACCACATTGTGCATTAAATAACACATTTCTACATGCAAATGACTTCGATTTCTGAGATCCATCCTTATTCCAAGAGATGTAGGTACTGCTTCATAATTGGAAATTACCGAGATCCTCTCCCTATGGCATGCATGAACTTTCTAGGCATCAAACGAACCAATGAATCAACACAACTAAAATTGGATACTGAGTCCATCCTTACCATAAATGCTTTAGTCCCAAGGTCACAACTCTAAAACTGTCAAGATCTCCTCACAATAACCTTGATCAACTGGAAAAGACTACTACATGTATCTAGCACATGTTTGGCTCTGGGGTTTTCTTAACCATCAGTAACCAAAGAGGCTGAAACTTTGAGTTTTATATCATAACGGATAAGCGTGGAGACACATGTTGTGCAAACACCTATGGGCAGGTATATATCTAATAGGTTTGCAGAGACGATGCATATACCTAGATATAATTTAATTTTGGGATAATCTTTTTAAAATATTGATCTACCTAATAGGTTCAAACTTGAGGTTTTAGTCATGACTGGTAACTGCGGTTTACAAACACAAACTTCTATTTCCCTAATGTGACGATTACTGTCAGAATATATTGTTTATATATTGACTAATTTTGAAGAAATCGATTTCTGCATGATACGTTACCGATGTATGAGAATAATGTGCAAACCAAAGAAACATTGTTATCCACGAGTTTTCAAATAAGAATAAAATAAAAACGGTGTAATCCCCACGTATAACTAAGCATACGTTTATCGGGCATGTACAAATTCAAACATGCAAGTGACATTGACCCGAGGGCCTATCTCTATACCCAGAGACCTAGCCCTTGAGTAATAGCTTCAAAACTAACAAGTTCCATACACTACCATATCAGCACTCACAGAGTATGAAATGACAATTTCATACAAGAACTGGAATGGTCCCTATTCCGTCCCTACGCCTTACTAAACTTGGCCCCAGGGTAATAGGTTGGAAACTATCGAAATACGCACCGTATGACTATGTACATTATTACTGGACATGAAATGGACAAATGCAGATACCTTACTAACATCTGCCTATGGGACAATCTTCGCCGTCAGGGAGCTAGTAAACTTGCTCAGACTTTGGGTTGGAGGTGAAAACGGATAAGCGTAAATTGGTTTTGCAAACATAATTCTCGTTTGTAAAGTTGTATTTTTTGCCACACTTTCAAAGAAAAGCGCAAATATTTGCAAAACAGTTTGTATGTAGGCATACAAGGACGAGCTTACGTACGTACCTATTTAACGCTCTTTAACTCCTACTTCCTGCCTAAACTGTTCTGGTGGCCTAGTGGTATGAGCTTCCGTCTCGGATGCGGGAGGTCGCAGGTTCCAACCCCAGCCGAGTCATACCAAAGACTTATAAAAATGGTACTAACACCTGCCTCGCCTGGTGCTAAGCATTAAGAGGTTAGTGTTAGGACTGGTCGGCCTGGTGTCAGGATAATGTGATTGGGTGGGACATCGTGTTACATGTCTGCGGCATGATGACTCAGGGCTAGACATTACTAAAAACTGCCACGCTGCAGTCAGATGACTGAAAATAGTTAAAGCTACGTTAAAATCTCTCTCTCTCACTCACACACACACACACACACACACACACACACACACACACACACACACACACTTCCTTAAGGCTAGACACATGAAACTCGAGTCAAAGATTGCCCTGTGGATATGGATTGTGGTTCCTTTCCTTCTCAGGTCAGATAAATAGAATGATTCATGATTCCAACTTTAACCTAATGATACTTTATTCTAAAGCAAAATCTGCTTTTCGGAGGCAAGAATTCATAACAATTTCGTATACATGCCGCATTTTGCACCTATTGTTCGTTGCATCATTTAAATTTCAGTACATTGTTTCCTGTGATTTTGTTTTTCGTGTTCTGTTTGCTTTGGTCCTCAAAGGAATTATCGGAGTCGTACAGCTTATGATATTGATAATATTGCTGCCCATTACGAAACTCACCCTGAGTTCCTGATTTGCTGAGGGATGTGGGGCTATCATAAAATAAATATCGCAACAACAGTTTGATCATAATGTCAAACATGTTCTGATAAAACTGATGTAGAAAACAACATAAACACAAACTAAAAGCAAGGGAAGTAATTCTTCATGTGATATGCATATTGCGTGACAACCATGTTGATCGTATTAATAGCTAAATATGTACAATGTGGTAACTGATTTATTAAATTTTGTGCATTTACAAATGATATTTCAAAATTTCTAAAATACACATAAAGAGAGAGAGAGAGAGAGAGAGAGAGAGAGAGAGAGAGAGAGAGAGAGAGAGAGAGAGAGAGAGAGAGAGAGAGAGAGAGAGAGAGAGAGAGAGAACAAATGGATGGAATGTATCCAATACGTTGTTATCAAAGCTACTTACCTGGCTATCAGAGCAATTTAATAATCTTCAACTATTCATAGTGTCACATACCTCTGAGAATATCCTTTGCTAACAGAATTTCGGCTTTGACTGGACATGTTTACTCGATTTATTTATTTCCGGCAGTTGATAATGACTACAACATTTATAGTTAATGTACTTCCTGGTTCAACGATGTGAATGAAGGTCGATCAGAGAATTCCTGATAAGCGACGGATAAATACCGCCCATATTCGCCGAAGAGCGATTTGAATGGTTCACCCAATTACTTTTCTTCACCTGGCACCTTTCAACCAAACTATTTTAAGACCCCTCTATTTATCTTAGCATATGGCTCGAAATAATGGGAACAACAATGGCAGTAAAATGAGCAACTACAATTTTACCGATATACATAAAAAAACTGGTACTATTGCCCGTCTTAAAGCTACACAAAATGAGTCAACAACATTGGTATATGGGTCTATTCTCACAAGTCTTCACGTTCGGTTACAGAAGGCCCTAAGAAATGTGTCGTCCGCGCTCTAGTATGTCCTGTTCCATCATACATTAATGAATAATAATAATTCCCCAACATGTTGGAATAACGTGCCTGAGAAATCTGGGTTTTTTTTATATGTTATGAAAATCAACAGTCCACTGAGTTAGGTGTTTGTTCCTGAATATAAACATGTTTGTTGCGTTTTTTGAATACGATAAATGGGAAAGGATAAAGAGTTTGGATTATTAAAAAATGTTCTTGATCATATTTTGAGGGATTAAAAAAAATGTTTTGTTTCGTTGTTTTTTTTTATATTCATGAATACCTAGGATAGTAGATTAGTCCACCAGAAGCCAATCAAATGTCTGACTGACTGCGATTTAATGAACTAGTTGGTGTTTAAAATCCCAACAAAACACATTAAATCAAGGAAAACAGCTATGAACAAAACCAGTGATAGCTAAAACTGTGAGAAATGGATAGGAACTGATATGTGTTGTTTGTGTTATTTTTTAAAACTGTCAGTCTTAATACATTATCATGAGTAGGTACACTGATTGTCTTCCATTTCTATCGTTTCCAGACTGTCACTAAACAACGTTGTCACATTCAGATGAAACTTGGCACAGACATTAAATTAAAAACTTGGCACATTATTAAATTAACAAGATAGACGTATTATCAAATTAAAAACATAGATGTGGCTTTTGATACATATATATATATATATATATATATATATATATATATATATATATATATATATATATATATATATATATATATATATATAACACTGTTAAGTGTCAACATTTAATGTTACCATGGAAACAATGTTGAGATCTACCAGATTTAATAATTCTCATAGCATAAGTAGGATACTAATTTTAACATTTTATAAAACCTCCTCAAATACTGCACTAATTGTATGGAGTGTTTTCTATTACGATTAAGTTTTCAGTCTGTTTTTTTCTTATCACGATTGAGGTTTCATAGTCCGTTTCTTTATGTGTAATTGATCGGTTTTATATCTTATTCTATTAAACAAAATCTAAATCAATACAATGGCGCTAACTCTATTAATAACACCTATGTCCATCATCATTGTCATCGTCATCGCCGTCATCATTGTCATTGTCGTCATCATCATGATCATCATCATTTTTAGCAGCAACAACACCACCACCACCACCACATTTATTATCGTCATCAAGGCAAGGAAGTTAATGACGTGACTGCATAGTGATATATTACCATCTCGATAGAAAAGAAGTATCCCTTGTAGAGAACCGCTCCGGTGGCCTAGTGGTTAGAGCGTCCGCCTTGGATGCGGGAGGTCGTGGGTTCGATCCACCGTCGAGTCATACCAAAGACTTACAAAAATGGTACTAACAGCTACCTGAGCTTGACGCTCAGCATTAAGAGGTTAGTATTAGGAATGGTCGGCCTGGTGTCAGGATAATGTAACTGGGTGGGACATCATGTCACATGTCTGCGACATGATGCCCCAGTGCTAGACATCACTATAAACTGTCACACTGCAGACATCGTAGAGATATGACTGAAAAACTGTTAAAGCTACGTTAAAAATCATAATCACATCGCATCACACCCTTGTAAAGTAGATGCTGTAGACCGAAATTTTGAAAAACCTTATGACCAACCACAGACCGACAATTCAACTTGAATAACAGCAGGTAACTATTAGATAAAATAAATGATGCAACCATAAAACCATTCATTTTAAAATTAAAGTAATACGCCTTCTGATTGTCCTGTTACTGTTTTAGCTTTTATTAGTTATATTATATACCCCAGATGCATTTCTGGGTCAAGTTAGATGATGATGTAATGACTCTTTAAAATAATTCGATCTAAAAGTCGTGTCGAAAAAAACAAAGCTGCCTCAATATGAAATTGAAAATACTACACGCTTTCTTCCCCTATATGCATAAGGAAAGTACACCGGGAAATTATAATTCCATCTCACCCCATTTATACACTGCTCTTTTACAGATGATACGTATTAAACATAAATCACCGGAACATATTGCCTGTAATTATTCCCGTTAAACCTAATCCAGCTACATCAATAACTGCCAGGTTAAAACCGCTTCCATCCTTTCTTCTACACAAATCAAAAGGTTTAATGCCATGTCCGTTTTGCTTTCTACCACTTGATTATTGCACAATGTATCATATTAAATCATTTTAAGCTGTTAAGTTTTAGTGTAGAATTTTAACATGTTGCAGCAAGGTGTACCTCCACTACAGAACACGTTACTTTCTGTCCCATTTATCCATATATATTTTACGCTATTCATGTAGGTCTTGATCGTAGGTTATTGATATGAAGGCATGAGACAGCTCGGATTTTAAAGTAGCAATCGGAAATGATGGTCTCGTTTGATGAAAGATGTTGATGAGCTTCAGCATTTTCCAAAATTCTCACTCTGAGATACCAAACAATTTTTCGTTGGTTTCCTTGTTAAGAATGAAATGTAGTATTCCGGACCACGAGGACTTAGTCTGATTTACATAAATAAAAATACATTTTCCTTTGTAGATGATAAACTATTTATTGAGTACCAATTTTTTTTGTCGTAGAAGTCATTTGCTATCTGTTCGTCGATTATGAAGTGGCCATGATTAACATGATACTTAGCTTTAAAACGTTTGAAGTACTCGTATCTGATGGAATACAATTTATAAATCTCAATAGATTTGTTAAATGCTGTACAATACAATGCAATTGTTAAATTGTTTGACAATGTGTTTCTTCCCTTTTTCAGTTGACCTCTTAGTGTAAAACCATCCAAAGAGCTGTCTTTTGTTATCAGGATATTTAAAGCAATTAGCGATATAAATTTAATTTTCTATCTTGTTTTATGTTAACAATGTTATCTGATATATAAAAGTCCATATTGCTAAACCGCCACCTTTAAAATATCGGATGATTGTGAAATAAGTGAAACTATCATGATTAGCTTTCCATTTTCTTCAGTATCCATTCTTGATAGCGGGCCTATTTCACATGTTAAACATTTTCTTTTACATATACGGTAGTCAATCTTTTCTATTTATTCCTTATTATATGTCGCTTTTATAGAATTAATGTGGTGTAATGTTAATAAACTATGACTCGATTCATTTGAGGTAAATCAAATTTAAAAGATAAATATCTAATGAAATATATACAATTTGTAACGTAGCCAGCCTTTAGATTATTCAATAAATGTTATTGCTATGAAATAAATGAAGAATTATAACAGTATTATAAGAAACTTTGATCAAATAAAATATTATCATCTAACTCTACAAATGTGGAAATGAAAGATCGGATCGATAAAAGAAGGAAATATTTGGAATTAAATCTGCAATATGTTTTCTACATAACAGGAACAAAAATATCAGACTGCGAAACAACCTAATTGTTTAACAGAAATAGAATATACCATAATATAAGTTTTTTTTTTACCCTGGGGATATCGAGATACCCACAATAGACACAACTGATAATCAAGTACTGGAAGAGGAAAGTAGTACTATCAAATAATTTAAATGGAAGAACAGCTACCTGTTTAGAAACTATTATTCACTTCAAAGAGTAGGGAAAATTAGGGGCTATAAAAATGCTGCACAAGTTACCGGATCGAACATAATATTTATGATATGTGAGATGCTGAAATGAAGGAAGAAGCAAACTAAAGAGTTAATATATATTACTAGAGTTTAATCAGCTGTTCTGATGGCATTGTGGCTAGAGCGTCCTCATTCCTTGGATACGGGAGGTCATGAGTTCTAACCCCAACCGAGTCATACCAAAGACTTATAAAAATGGTGCAAATAGCTGCCGCGCTAGGCACTCAGCATTAATAGGTTAGTGTTAGGACTGGTCATCCTGGTGTCAGGATAATGTGACTGGGTGGGACATCATGTCTGCGGTATGATGCTCCAGTGCTAGACGTCACTATAAACTCCCACAATTCAGACATCATAGCCATATGACTGCAAAATTATTAAAGTTAATTTAAACATCCAATCAACCAACCAACCCAAGTTTCATTCGGTTCAGTAATTTCCCATATCAGTATTTATAAATTAAATGAGTATTCAACCGAGTTGCGAAGTAGAAATAAAGTGCTGCAGACGTTTTGGTTTTATTTAACTCTGAAGTTCATTGATGGAGGCACAATTATCACCTTAAATGAGGTCACCAGAAGGGTGTGTGCTTTAGAAATATAGAGTACTAATTTTGAATTGGACTTCTGCAAGGCTGTAATCGTTTATTTACGGTAAGCAAAAGCAGTATAGTGGCTGCACGTGTGAATAAGTATCATTCAGAGCATGATCTAGATTAAAAACAAATATATGAAATTAACTTTACATATGTAATTACATTGTTCCTATATTTACTTTGTTTTTCACAGTCACATGTAACTTTTTGCTGATTTCCATCTTACACTGAAATACCGTTTAATTCTCGTTATCGTGTGTACCATTTTATAGCTTCCATATGATATAATCTGATAAAGTTTTATTTTGAATCTTGTGTTATAAATAATATAAATATGCATGCCTGCATTTATGAACTCATTTAGTTTTGAATCTGCTGTAATTTCCACATCTTTTAGATTTTGAAAAACTCCTTATCTTTCTAAACCTCCAGTCTTTATGATTCTTATTTCCACAGTGTATTTATTATGCTTATAACATTCATTTTTAAAACATACTTTTATCGAGTCTTGAATTGTTAAACAAATAATACTATCCTTTTCATTTAACAGGTTAATAATTTTAGCCATTAAGCCATTTAGTTATTTTAATTCAATGTGACTTTTCATACATCATCCCTTTTGTCGCATATGGATAATTTTCGCCACTAAAACACGCAGCACTCTGTATCGTCTCCTTTCAAACATTCGAATTTTCAAAATAAGTGGATTTTTTAAAATTTTTCACATGATTTTAAATATTTCATCTGTAAAATTAGGAAAGTAAACTTTAAATAGTGGTTATACTTGATATGCTGTTTCACCAATTGTCAACTTAGCTTGTTTGCTTCCACCTGGGGGCATGTATAATGATCTTTGATGGGTGTAACTGTGCTGCAATTTGACCTTGGAGAAACGTTGGTCCATTTTCTTATTTCATTTTGAGTGCAATACTCCCATATTCTAGAAAGTTAACATGAATTTATATCCATTTATTATCTCTCTTTTGGACGCTTGCATGTAACTCACGTCTCCGTGCCACTGATCATTGACATGTATGACATGGAAAATCTTTATCTCACCTGCTCTATAATGTATAGATAGATTGCTTATTTAACCATTGATTCAGTTTTATGTATTTTCTCTTCTTTTTTTCTCTAGTTTAATTTGTTCACATGATATAAGCAACTGGATCTTTATGCTGAAACGTCTTTATTTTATGTGATGTATTCAAAATAATCAGGATAATAAGGATATCGCATGCTTAGTAAACATTTCTTTTTCCCGGCCTTATCAATAATTCAAAAGGACATTTGACTTCATTTGCTAGTTTTATTTTCAACAATCTGAAACGTGTTGTCAATCCTTCCAATGGTATGAATGAGTTAAGATCTCTATTTATCACTAATGTCAGTTTTATGAATGACATGTCTCTGCTTAGCGCATATATTGGACCATTACAAAATCTGTTGAAAATAAGTGAAGATTTTGCATCTGGAATGATACGAAGTACAATATTACAAACGACACAGTCACAAAAGTTTAAAATTATTTTTGCATCCGAGGTTTAACTCTATCTTGAGAAGCTTTCCTTTGTAAATGTATTATGTGCATTTAGATCATGTAGTTTGGTTAGATTTGTCACATTATAACTTATCATCTTCTCTATACTCTAGTGGACATGCACTAATGTTCTTAAAATGTTATTTAAAACATATATAAATTTTTACTGTGTTCATCTGTAGACAAATTTGCATATAATACAATAATACAATTGAATGTGTTTCACATGAATGGGTTCAGTTTTATAAAGGCAGTACTTCAGGCGTGTATGTCTAGAACAATGTAGATAACCTTATTGTACTATTGAAAAAACCCCACGGCGTATTCAATTTAAAATCAAGCACACACAATTAAAAGAATATATATATATATATATATATATATATATATATATATATATATATATATATGTATATATATATGTATATATGTATATATATGTGTATATATATGTATATACATATATATATATATATATATATATATATATATATATATATATATATATATATATATATGTGTCTATCTATATATATATATATATATATATATATATATATATATATATATATCTATATATATATATA